AGCGTGTCAGCTCCTCCAGCCCCACCCGCACCTGCCCCAGCACGGAGGAGATCGATCCGGAGTCCAAAGCTAGCAGGTACTGAGTTGCTTTAGTACGTCCCTGGGGAAATGCTAGCCCTGTTAGCAAATGGGGTTTGCATTGGGTTTGCTTCTTGTGCAGAGGATGAAGAAGTTTAAGGCTACAAAGACCATCTTTCTAAAGCATGTATCGACTCCTTAGAGTAAGGGCCAGTTTCTGTCCAAAAGAGCAGGCAATCAAACATCTCATTGTTGAGGTTAGATCAGCTTTTAAAAAAAATAACAATAAATAAATGTGGAATGGATGAGAAGAGCTCAGATGCTGTGTGGATGGCACACCGCAGCCTTTCTCTCAATAGTGGACATGAGGACATAAACACGCATGGGAAACAGAGGTGCTCAGGGTTCTTTGCTTTTGCTGCTGAACAACGAGATTTTGTTTGTTTCTTTTCAAGCTCCTGCCATAGAAGCAGAGACGCAGGTGGAACGCAGCACATCAGTTCCAGAAGCTGTGTGCGCAGCTGCACGGAAGCGCAAAGCAGCTGAGATGTGTGGCAGTGCTGTGAGTGCCACCGCTGACGGCACGGAGGAGCCTCCAGCTAAAACTGCAGCTGTGGTAAGGACCGTGGCTGAAGCTGTCGTGGATCCCCAGTCGTAGTGAAATGGAAGTTTCACGTTTCTCTTGGGGAAACGCTGGAAGGTTCACAGGTTCTCTGTTCCTGGAAGCCAGGAGCTGCCTGCAGATTCCTGCAGTAAGCTTCCAGTGTTCATTAGAGGCATGGCAGCGTTCGTGTAGTACTCTGTGATTGCACCCTTCTGGGATTTCTCTGTGGTGTGAAGGATTTTGTCAGTTAGTGCTGTGTTCTCTAAAACACACTGAAGCTCCTTGGTAACTTTGAAGGGAATCTGAACTTCTTTCAGGAGCGCTGGGGCTCTGCCTTTGGGTTAAGGCTCGGCAGCGCCAGAGAAGATGCAAGGATGCGTGGAGGAAGAAGCTGCTCAGGAATGTTTCCCTGTGCATCATTCTTGCTGTCTTGTTTCTCCCTAGGCTGTTGCTCCAGCCCGGCCAGAGGACATCCTGGTCACTGTACGTGAAGCAGAGACACCCCCAAACAGGTGATAACCACAGCTTGTTTTTTTTCGTAGTCATGGATGTTTTCCATGATCTGTAAGTTCTCCCATGCCTAGGAAAACAGAGGGATTTGATCTAATTGGTGCCAACAACCACCAAAGTCATTTGCCATCAGAAATAACGTCCCAACTGCTAGTGGCTGCTTGTGCCTTTAGATTGTTTTCTTAACGTTGCTAAGTGTTCCAGAGCCTTGTTGGCTCCTCTGAACGCCTGAATGAAGATGAGGAGAAGTCCCTCCAGTTCCTTGTGAAGTGATATTTGAGGAGTGGCCAGCCATGCTTTTTGGTGCTCAAGAATGCCACCTCAGGAATCAGAGACTTTGACAACACTGCTAGGAGAACAAAGAGCAGAAGGGATGGATGGAGATCAGCCTCCTGGGCTGGCAATCCGTCTCTGCAGAGCATGTCATGAGAAAGAGAACTGTAGTGGTGAACACAGACAGATATGGGTGGAGGTTGACTTCCTAGCATTATTACAGTCCAAGTAATGAAGGAGGCAAAGTGCCTCTGGCTACAGAAATTGGACCATGCTTGTAGGCACCAAGCGCTCTGTCTGCACAGATCAGTCGCCGCTGAAAATCACGCCTGCTTTTGGATTGGACCTTAACTGTAGGCCAGGTTCAAGGAGTGACAACCTCCGTATTGGTAGGAGTTGAAGGGAAGGTTAACGATAGATTTTAGAGCTGGTCTGAAGAAAAGGCTTCTCCAGTCAAGAAGTGCCAGTACTGATTTTTCTCTTCCTCGTTCTCCCAAGTCCCGAGCTGCATCTGGGATGCTGGGCAGAGTCTGTGGCCCAGGCAGAGCACTCCAGTTGTGCTTCACCTCCTCCAGAAGTAACAGCAACGACACAGCAGCTGTGCTCCAGTGGGGCAGAGAAAGCGCCCTTTGCTGCAGAAGATGACTATGAGACACTAATGCTGGAGCTGTCAGGTGGAGATGTGGAAGGAGGAGAGGATTTGGAGCTGGGGATGGATGTTCATGAGCTCCTTCAAGAACTCTCTGAAGTGGCTCAAGGATGCTGGGCAGAGTCTGTGGCCCAGTCAGAGGACTCCAGCTCCGCTTCAGCTTCTCCACAAACAGCAGCAAAGGCACAGCAGCTGTGCTCCACCGGGGCAGAGAAAGTGCCGTTTTCTGCCGAAGATGACTATGAGCAGGTAATGCTGGAGCTCTCAGATGGAGAGTTGGAGGGAGAAGTGGATTTGGAGCTGGCAAACAACGTGGATGAGCTCCTTCAGGATCCCTCTGAGATGCCTCTGGGATGCAGGGCAGAGTCTGTGGCCCAGGCAGAGCGCTCCAGTTGTGCTTCACCTCCTCCAGAAGTAACAGCAACGACACAGCAGCTGTGCTCCACTGCGGCAGGGAAAACGGCGTTTGCTGCAGAAGATGGCTATGATGATCTAATGCAGGAGCTGTCAGGTGGAGATGTGGAAGGAGGAGAGGATTTGGAGCTGGAGATGAATGTGGATGAGCTCCTTCAAGAACTCTCTGAAGTGGCTCAGGGATGCTGGGCAGAGTCTGTGGCCCAGACTGAGGACTCCAGCTCCGCTTCACCTTCTGCACAAACAGAAGCAAAGGCACAGCAGCTGTGCTCCACCGGGGCAGAGAAAGTGCCATTTTCTGCCGAAGATGACTATGAGCAGGTAACGCTGGAGCTCTCAGATGGAGAGTTGGAGGGAGAAGTGGATTTGGAGCTGGAGACAGATGTGGATGAGCTCCTTCAAGATCCCTCTGAGATGCTTCTGGGATGCTGCGCAGAATCTGTGGCCCAGGCAGAGAACTCCAGCTCTGCCTCAGCTGCTCCAGAAGTAACAGCAAAGACCCAGCAGCTGTGCTCCAGCGGGGCAGAGAAAGCGCCCTCTGCTGCAGAAGATGGCTATTTTGATCTAATGCTGGAGCTGTCAGATGAAGATTTGGATGGAGAAGAGGATTTGGAGCTGGAGACGGATGTGGATGAGCTCCTTCAGGAACCCTCTGACATGGCTCAGGGATGCTGGGCAGAGTCTGTGGCCCAGTCAGAGGACTCCAGTTCCGCTTCAGCCTCTCCTGAAGTAACAGCAAAGAGCCAGCAGCTGTGCTCCACCGGGGCAGGGAAAGTTTGCTTCTCTGCAGAAGATGACTGGGAGAAGCTCATGCTGGAGCTCTCAGGTGGAGATCTGCAAGGAGGAGTGGATTTGGAGCCAGGGAAGGATGCGGATGAGCTCCTTCAGGAGCTCTCTGACATGACTGAGGGCATAACCCATTAGTATTTTCACAGAATCATAGACTCATAGAATGGCCTGGGTAGAGAAGGACCTCGAAGATCATCCAGTTTCAACCCCTGCTACGTGCAGGGTCGCCAAGTACTGGAGCAGGCTGCCCAGTGCCACATCCAGCCCGGTCTTGAATGCTTCCTGGGATGGGGCATGCACAACCTCAACCTGTTGCAGTGCGTCACCACCCTCTCTGCGGAAAACTTCCTCCGAGTATCTGGCCTGAACCTCCCCTGTCTTAGTTTAAAACCATTCCCCCTTGCCCAATCACTATCCACCCATAAGCTGTATTATACTATCCATTGTTCTTTTATGTTAATTTCTTTCTTAATAAAATCTTTTTTTTTTTTTCCCCTATACTGAGGCTGTACTTCTTCTTGCTGATGCTTTGCAATTATTTTTTAATTATGTTCTGCACTTCTGGAGGTTTTTGTGACTTTTCCAGTTAGCTCCTGGGATCCCTTTGTCCTAATTCCGATGGGTTCTGCCCCTTTCTAGCTCGACGGCATCGCAGTTTCCTGTGCACCAGTGTCCTCTGTCGCATTACGCTCCTGTGTTTCTGCCATGCCAGACCATCTGATCAACGTAATCCAATTAATCTGATTTTTGTTTCCTGCACCTGAATGGAGGCAGGGCCCCTCTAGTACTGCTTCTTTTACTCGCCAGTCACTTGGCATGAATGCAAACCAAAACGCTCGTTATCAACCTCAGAAGTAAGATCAGGCCATGGTTTTGTTCTGGGGAGCTGCCCGTGGGAAACTGGATCCAGTTCCGCTTCAGTTCCGGTTGTCAACTTCCCCTCTGTCCACCGAACACATCTCAGCTTGACGGTCGCCTCTCAGCCTGCTCAGCTGCTCCAAAACGCTCCGGCGTTTTCCTGGAAGAATTCCCTTTTGTGATTGTTTTTCCTTGTAATTTCTTACTGTGCCAATAGGGTCAAGGTGGCTTTTCTGTCCCACTGCTTCATTGCCTCCCCACTGCCACACAAGCAGGGTGGCATGTGTGTGTGTGTACCTACTGTAGCCTGCGTGGGAGAGAGTCTTGTCCATGCAGGTGGAGAGGAAGGTATATTCCCATGGAATTGCTTTACCTCTTGGGAAAGCTCCTCCTCAGCTGAAATGCCAGTTGATAGGGAGGAAGAGAGACTTTCTTTGTATTGCTGAAGTTGGCCAGCCCGTCCGTCTGCTATTTGTTCTTCTCCTTCTTTCCAGGTCGTTGCTACCGGTGAGCTGGCATTTGGTGATGGTGCACTGCGTGCCACTTTTTGCCACGTGGATTGCGTGCAGTTGATACTACTTGGATTTTGTGGTTGCTGTTCAGGCTAACATTATGCACTGCCTCCAGTGAGGAGTGCTGGAGATATCGCATGCCTCTTTCCATGCTGTTTCTCTGGCCTGGCTGACATGCAGCATTTTTCAGATGTGGAACCAGTACTGGAATTTCCAGTAGCTCATTTGCAACATTTTTGCTTTTGCTGTTAATTTGTAAGAGGAATTTCATCACGACTGTGCTTGGATACTAAAGTTTACCTGTACCTAACACATGTCATGTACTTGGAAGAAAAAAAGAAAAAAAGCAACACAAAAAACTAACACGGCTTAACAAGGCAGAGCTGCAAAGTCATTTTGAAAATAAAATAGTTGGTACCACTAGTGAGTCACAGTGCAATCAACGGTTTAATCAAACAACGACATCATACAGAATATTTAGACAACATAAATACTCCGTACAGTCACTACAACATGAACAGGAAAATAAAAGCTTCACGTTCTCCCACACAATCTAAAGAACTGGGCAAAAGCAACAGATTGTTCCTAAACAGGCTGCTGAGCTTCACTGACAGCTCTCCTGCTCAAGGGACTGGATGTTGCCTTTGCTGTCGCCCTGGGAAGGTGTGCTGCAACTGATCTAGAACTTTCTCTGAAAATTTGAAAGCAGTTTGAATGACAACACACCCATCCCCTCTGGTTTCTATTTAGCAGACATGCACTAATTCTCTGTATGATCCAACACTTCAACAGAAGGTAATGATTTAGTTACTTAATTAAGTTTATCCCCCAGCCTTCTGGGGCCCGAATACTTCCATTCTACAGTCATGAAGAAACATGCCCTTACAAGAGGCAGTAATTACTCTGAGAAGACTTTTGTAGTTTCCACGTAGGGATAAAGCTGATCTGAAGCAGCAGTCAGAACAGACACATATTTTCAAGTGTGAGTCTTGAAAGACTGAAGCAATAAAAGGGGCCTTCCTTCCCAGGAGAGTCCCCAAGCAGCTGAATGCTAAGGTACCACCCTCCACATCTTCATTCTGACTGCAGCCAAGAGCACAGCAACCATGCCAGACATGGTTGAGGATGTTGGTTCTCATGTATTAGATCAACTTTTTTGCTTCAAGCTTCGGGTGCAAATGTGTGGAGGCTTCCTCAGGAAGTCCTACAGTACAGTCAATCTCCCATAACACATTTCCAGTCAGACAGAATGCTAAAGGCAAAGCAACCCTCACTGACATGACCACAATGTCCAGTGCCAGTAAAGAGAAGTTTAACATGCACATGAACAGCAGCTACTGGCCTTCACACAACAACCTACTGCCAAGTTTTAAAACTTGAACCTAAATTTAAGACACTAAATGGTAAACTTTGTCAAGTACTAAAATTTTCTTCCAAAGTGCTATGCCACATTTGTTAAAGCTATGCCAAAAAAAAAAATAGTAATCTTAGAGCAGCTCATGGTTGAAGTTCTCCCTACTCAAACTGAAGCTGAGATAAGCTCACAGCTGGGTGGCAAGAATTCTGTAAAGCAAAATATTTCACTTTGCATTATGTCAGTGTGCTGGAATTGAAGGGATTTGCTTTCAAAAGACATTTAAGAAGATTCTTTACAGCAAGTTCTGATGCATTCTCAATGAAAACCTGTTATTATACTGAACAGAGTAGGGCTGTAAAACTTCCATAAGATTTTGACTAAGTTTGTGAAGACAGGATTACCACTGCAACAGGAGTCAAATGGGAAACTGCAGTGTGAAACAAGCTTGGAATTTCTACACAGGAAAGGGGTTTGGGTTTGTTTGGTTTTGTTTTGTTAAAAAGCAAACCAACCTCAGGAATCACCTTGCACCGACGCTCAGTAAGTAGCAAGGTTTTTAAAGTGTCCTTTTTCTCACTATAGCTGTATTTGTTAAAAAAAAAAAAAAAGCAACTGAATAATTTATCTTTCCTAGGGAATGAGATCTCCTTTAGTTGCAAGACTATCAGAAATCAATTTTCTACCATCTTTTATATGGATAACCATTAGCAAATTACAACATTTAACACATTCCTTGGCATACATTACTATTGAATAGACTGACTTAGCCATCCAATGCTCAGTACTTCACAGAGGCTACTATAACTGTGTCAAATGTATTAGAAATCCAGATTTACCTGGATAAAATTAAGACATTCCAAACTGGAACACTCGTTCAGTTATCACACACTGGGAACAAAAGCATGTCAAGCACTAGAGAAAAACAACCAAAAAAAGTCTAAATTAAATACAATCAAGAATACTGTCTAATCATATTAATAAGTACACTGAGAGAGCCTGAAGGCATCACAAATGTATTGTCCATAAAGATAATGACGGTGCTTTCTTTTAATATTAAAGAAGTCATAGCTATAAAAAGAGAGTTAGTCCCATCTCAGTTTTCCAGTACAGCTTATTTATGTTCCTTCGTTGGTGCATAGTACAGTTCCATGGGTTTGTTCACTTTCCAGTACTTCTCACTGACCAGCTCCAAGGAGAACGACCCATTTAATACCTAGAAGAAAACACCAGAAAAGATGTGGTAAGACCTGATAGTGCACAGGCAGCAATCTATCCACAACTACTGACTGAAGAAGTCACTGATAATGTGGAACAAGTTACTGACTAAACACTCGTAGTCAAAAAGCAGTAAAATGAGCTATTACAGACTCCTGTCACTCTCACTAAAACAGCACGAAAAACAGCTTTGCTAATTGCATACAAAGTGCACACAGTTGTAAATGAAGTGAATTTTATGTTTCTTCTGTATGTAAACAGAGAGAGTAGCAGGTGTATGGACACTAGAACCATCTTTGCTTCTTTTCTAAAGGCTACTCTATCACCATGTTTGAACACTGTGCAAAATAGACTGTCAGGTAACATTGGTGTCTCTCTTAACCAGAAGTTTTATTTTATTCAGAAAAAATGCTCAAGTATAAGGCTAAGCTCAGAGGTCAATCCAAGTGCAATACTACTTTTTAGTTCAGTCAGCAAATGAGAAGAGGAATTCTTCCCTATCTAAGGCTCGCAGTAGCCTTTTTACACTGGAGTAAAAGAAGATTATACTGCAGTAGAGTCCACTCAATAGACATTTCCTGCTTCTAGGCAGTGCTCTTCAAAGAGAGTTCTCAGGTGAAACAGTGTTCTTCGTCTCCAATTTTAACTGCAAAATGAAAGGTCAGGTCCTCACCCGAAAGAAGTCAGCTAATAGTTGTTGGCATCAATGTAGCTTTTTTTCCCCCAAATAATTTGTATGCTTTCTTTTTCTATTAACCAAGGTTCCACTACGTGCATTTTCCTGCAAAACAAACTATCTGCTTCTGAATGAGCAACCTGGTGCCATGAATTTTATCCCCATGTCAACTCAGGAGAAGTCCAACTCCATGGATTCTAATCATATCTGTATCAGAGGCATACTGATGCTCAGTTTTCCTCTTAAAGCTTCCACTTACAGTGAACTGCCCATTGGCAGTAGCTATGTAAATAGTATACTGCTTCTCACTGGCTGTGTCAAGATTCATCTGGTTTGATTCTCCTTTGCTCCGAAGCTCTTCCAGAGCCAGTCTCACAGCCAGGTACTTGGACAAGTGATCAACAGTGGCATTGCCTGAGGTCTTGATGTATCTGCAACAGCAACCACAAAAATAATCGCATGTTCATATTAGAGATACAGGACAAAGACACCTGGAACCCTCTGCTCCTTGCTAAAGGTTCCCTTCTTTACTGCCTCATTACCTGCTCCTCTTTATGCAAGAATCCCAATCTGACACAAATGCTGCAGGAGCCTGCCCCAGAAGCTTTGCTTTCTCTCTGTCTTTCAGAATAACCCCCAGAACTCCCTTGGAATTCCAAACGAAAAAGAAGAGTTGGATGAAGCTTATATTTAGTAATATATTTACTGACACTGTAGAGAAATGTCTCATCAGAAGAGAAAGACAGGAAGAGATCTGAGGAAACTTCACAAGATTGCTCATTGCTGCAATCCTAAATTTGCAGTCTGTGCTCACAAGGGATGATGGAAAAATACCAGGCAAAGCTTCCAGCCTACAAATCACACTGACACAAGGCTGCTCCAAAAAAAATCGCAGACACTCGCACGAGACTTGTTTATTCCCAGAGAATCTTATTGTAAGTAGATGTCATACCATCATTCTGGTATCTCCTGTGAACTGCAAGAAACTCTTAAAACCACCTTCATCCCTGACCAAAGGCCTAAAACAGTTTGTTTCTGTAACACTGCACAGAAACAAGTTGAGCAGTAGCATCTATCTGACCTGCAATGAGAAGGCTGCGTATGTTAAACCGAGGTGGTTCAACCAAAGCAAACTGATTTTTAAAAGCCCCAACAAGTTCTAAATAGAAAATAGAAACAGCAGGAATTAAACCAGAGTATACAAAGAAGAATAATGCCATTTACCTTGTCTGTGCACTGTCGTCATTCTCCATGAGGGTAGGATGAGGCCTGAAGACTAATTCTATTTCACTGGCACCATCCAGCACAGGGTCTATGGCCACAGCTGTGTTGTTAGTGTCCAGTTCTAGCCCAGAATCATCTGATGTTTTGGTCCTCTTGTTGCTAGGCCCTGCTTCTTGATTGCTGTGTGTTGAGGCATTGCTACAGTGTGAACTGTCACCATTATCTTCTGCTCCACTGCCATTTTCAATTTGCTGTTTCTTGCCCCTCTGTAACCTGGTGACAAATAGGTAGAAATAAACACTAATCCTCACTCAGAACTCATCCAACCTATACAACATCTCTCTTCTCAGTCAAGCCAGAAGCTTGACATAATATGAACTATGCATTCACAAGCATGAAACATTCCAGAGATATTTAGACTTAAAAAATAACATACATCCTATCTTACAAAAAGATACCCATATACAAAGCTGCATATTTTTCCTTATTCCTCAAATGCATTTTAGGCATGTCATGAGATCATTTTAAACTTCATTCAGTTAATTTTACCCCTTACACAAAACAGAAAAGTATTTTAATCAAAACATGAATTCATTTGTGATTTAGAACAATTTAATGGAAGAAAGTTTGGGGTCTTTCCCAACTCCTCCCTGCAGCCTTCTCCCCCCCAGTCTCAACAAGCCCTTCTACACAGGAGAGGTGCTCCAGCCCACTGAGCATCTTTGTGGCCCTCCAACAGCTCTACATCCTTCTTGTGCTGGGGGCCCCTAGCAGTACTCCAGTTGGGGTCTAATGAATGATGCCTGTAAATTGGTAACACAACACGTGTCTGCCAGTAAAGCTGCAGGCAGTGATACAAAGTTTCTATTTACTAATAAAACAATAAAACTGATAACATTTTTTTAACAAAAGTTGAAAGCTACTTTGGCAGCCTTCAGAGAGGAAGAGAAGAATCCCTTGCTACAGAGAGTGAGGAGGTGGCATATTTCTAGCATTAAGGGAGAAAATGGGAACAAATTATGTGACTACATACCTGTTCATAGCCTGAATCTTTAGTCCCTCTTCAATGCTGTGACTTAAAGCTTGCTGGTTATTGTGTTTACTGATTCTTGCTAGCACTCTCTCCTGATGCGCTTCATATTCATCACGGCTTGGATAAATTTTACTGATGAGAGCATCAAAATTGGGATCAGGTCGCAGCGATCTTTTTGACACCAGCTTTTTACGACATGTGGGACATTCTTTGTTGCTAGATATAAGAATATATATATATTATAAAAAATATATAATTTTTTATATATCTGTAAGGATATAGAATAAGGAGAGGGAACAACATTAAGTCTCTGGCAATGACAGAAAGTCTTAATGCTGCAATTGTTAGAGAAAGCACCCATCATGACTCAACTTTACAATACATCTGGAATGGAATGGGGCTTCTATCTTTTGACAAATCTGATAGCTCAAGATACTTAAACAAAACAGGAAAAAAAAAAAAGGAAAAAAACCAAACATCTCCTTGCTATAATTTTTAAAGTGTGTTTATTTAAGGTATGTTTAAACAAAATGTATTTTGACTGAAGAATCAAGGAGTTCTATGCTACAATTTTCTCCCCTTAATCTTCTGGCTTTATTCTTACTTAGAAATGTTTCCATTTCAAGTGGAAATTATATTGAAAGGTACAGTCCTTCATAGGACCTGCAGAAAGAAATAAAGATTAAGGAACCCATTTTGGAGTTCAAGCACGAATTTCTGTGAAAACTAAAACTCAGTCTTGTCCTTCCCAACATTCTGTTCTAATTTAATTAATTTATCAGGTTCACATGTTTTTTGCTTTTTTCTTGTAAAAGCAAGAGGCCTCAGTAACAGAAATATCAGTGATTTCTTTATTGATAGCATTTCTTGTTTCTCCTTCACGAGAAGAGTGTTTCTGCTAATCACTCATCAGAATTTCCACAGGCACAGTGAATTCATTGTGAACACTGCACTGATGGCCATCCTCAGAATCAGCAGCGCTCAGGGCTCAAATGATCATATTTTCATCTGAAGGGAAATCCCTTTTCCCTGTCCTGCTATTTCCATACCCGCTCCTGAGGGCTGTAATGATGCAGTCAGCACAGAAACGATGCAAACACTCTTTTGTCGTCATGGTATTTTTTAACATATCCAAACAAATGGGACACATGAGTTCGCTATGCAGGCTCCTGGGTGACACAACGATTTCCAAGCCATCGGTGATCGCTTCCTGGTGTAAAACAAAGTAAAAGTTCTTTAAGGAAATTTCACACAGAGATTGCATGTGTTATTGCCTTCAGACAAAGACATAAGAATACAACAAGGAACATATTCAACCACATCAGGAAAGGGAAACCAGACCTCAAGTTCCTAACGGTATCGAATAAAGACCAAACTGCCCGAAGGCCAGCTCTTCAGCACACGTTACCTGAGGTGTTCTTTGCAACTCGTACAAGCTGAGTTCCCAGGTCTTGCTTAAAGGCTGCGTCCCATTGGTCTGCACAGCTTGAGACATGGCTGGAAGCAGAAGAGAATAAAATGATATGGTCAGGTGCACCTGGCTCCAGAACCAGCTCCCCTCTCTCCCAAGCAGGCCTTCATCCAAGTGATCTGTTCCCCAGGGCTCCAGCCCCTGCAGCCTTAATGCTCACAGTACAGAAACACAGCAAGAAACCACTGAAGCGCTGCAAGTCCCTGTCACTGCCCCACTCCAGAGACACTGAGGGAACTCCCCAGCCATGAGCGTTTTGCAAAACTCCATTCAGGCTGTTAAGCAGAAGAGAGATAAAACTGAAAGGCCCAGAGCATGGGCTTGCACAGGGGTGGCAGTGGCAGCCAGCACAGGATACGTTCTCATATACATGCACCCCAGTCAAATAAGTTTCTCTTATTGCGTTTTTATTTAAAGCTAGGCTTGTATTTCCAAACTCTTAGAATCCACCTTTGGCTGCTGATTTGATGTACATCTACCAGGCATGTTATAATCTAGTTTCAAGTTCATCAAATTCTGCAAGAAGAGTCAACCTCTCTTACTTTCTAAGCTTTAATTAAGAGCAAGGAAAGCAGCTCCACAAAGATTATTGTATCTGTTCTTCTCCAAGCTCACAAATTAGTTTTCTCCCCTTACAGAAAAAAAAGACCCAAACCAGAAATAAAGCCTGACATAATGTAGGCATGATCATTACTTTGTAAAGAGATGTGGCTGGGGCACTCCAGAAAAGCTTGCTTCACACATCACACAGCTCCACAGCAGCAAAGAACTCCTTGCAATAGCCCACAGCAGAGATCACCACATGCACAAGCACATCCTGCCCAAACCCAAGTGCTCACGCTTGTTAGCATGATGGCTGTTCCAGCACCAGGCCTCCAGCCAAAATACCAGCCTGGAGAACAAGTACATTAACATTACTGCAAAAACAAGAGAACACACTGCAGGATACACAGTACAAGTGTCAAGATGTATAATCACTAGGCTTTATTCTAAAAGCTTCTCATCTCATATGCAGTGTGCTTAATTCTCATCCTAAAGCACGCAGTGACAGCACTTTGGGATTGCAAGAGGAAAAATACTGGCCTTAAAGCTACCTGAAAGCAGAGAGATCCACATGGCCCTGTTGGACACTAGTGAACAACTCCTCTGCCTCTGGAACATAGAGTCAAGACCAGAACACAGTAACAGGAACTCACAGATGCTGAAAAGCAAAAGAAATAAGAAGTAACCTCATCACATCTCATGAATAAGAGGAGACTCAGTAGTATTATTCCTGCTCCCATAGTTCTTACAATCTGTTTTCAAATCCATGCTGGCCCTGACAAATGCACCTGAATGAGGTTTAACTTCTTTCCCTGATGACACTGTTGAACATCAGTTTGGACCACATTGCTTCTCACAGCCACAATCTCACTGCAGCGGCACCAATAGCTGGCACCTATGTAAAGGATGAAACTTCATCAGCTCCGTATTCTGACCTAAAATTGCCTTGACCATGCAAGCACAACCTGGCGGGCTCAGAACCACAACCACCAAGCTCTCCTTTAGACCTGCTCAAGACCAGCTGATCTCTGAGCACTGACCATAGAAGGGAGGGATGCCATGCAATGGGACCTGGACAGGCTTAAAAAGTGGGCCCACATGAACCAAATGAGGTTCAACACAGCTAAGTGCAAGGCGCTGCACTTGGGTCAGGGCAATCCTGGATACGTGTACAGACTGGCAGAAGAATTCTTTTAGAGCAGTCCTGCACAGAAGGACCTGGGGCTCCTGGTGGACATAAAGCTGGACATGAGCCAGCGGTGTTCATTTGCAGCCAGGGTGGGCAATTGCATTCTGGGCCGCATCAACTGAGGGGCAGCTGTGGGCAGGGAGGAGACATCAGTTGCCATTTCATGCTGCCTCAGGGATCACTTCGTTATTGTCCATAGCCTCAATCCTTAGTGTGAATGTTATTTACATCCGTTCTACGCCCTCCTGAACATCTGCTGAGGTATAAACATTGCACTACACAAGATGACCACTTCCAGAGAGCTCTCTGCACCTCTTGCCCCTAGGTAGTGCAGAGCTCACTGGGACACCTATCTCTCTCTGGCTGCCATGCCTACAAATGCTACACAAATTCATCACACTGCAAATCCAAGCTATTTATTAACTAAAAAGCTTGATTCTTCTCCATTTTGGAGGGATTAAGTAAAAAGAGTTTCATTTTGTGGTACAAAATAATAATAATAATAAAAGTCTACACTGCCCACTGTCTTAATGCAACATATTATTCAGACCATTACAGCTAAAACAGATACTCACTCTTTACACACCATTTATATCTTGTCCAATGTGAATACCAAAATACCATCTAACACCAGCGCCTTCTGCAAGGACTGAAAAATGGAGCTGTGTTCCTTTCCCTGCTGATGTGAGTCAATAAATCAGACAGGCACTTGACCTCAAAGACACCAAGCGTGCCAAAAACCTTTACCAACAATTTATATAAGAAAAACAGTCATTACCAAGGTGTAATTTAGCACCTCATTATTTCCACACTGACAAGAATATGTGTTTTTGATGCTGCTAACACAACCATGATGCAGTGACCCTCAGAGTCTGCAGCAGAAGACAGCCTTTACATGCATGCAATTCTATCAAAACAGCACACATCCTGCTACGGTGGATGTACCCCTGGCCACAGAACTCTGTTTCAGGGCTTTCATTTCTATGGTGCTTTCTAACCCTCGCAGCACTGCTGGCACATTACATGAGCTTGACCAATTTCTTGCTCACTCCCCGAAATAACAGCTGCAGAAAGGAAGAACTGGCCACCCTATATGCTGAGGGTTAAGCTCAATGACTTCAATAGCCCTGTTGTTTGTCCCTTACTTTGCTGTATGTTTTAACAGAAGTCCCATGAACATGCTAACATTACAGTTCAAACAAACTTTCCCATCTCCACAAGCAAGGTCTCCAGAAAACCCCTCAGCTGTTTTCTACTGAGCAAGTGAACCAAATTTTGGTGATGATAACAAACGTGGATTGAATTTCACCTTGCAGAGCAGGCCCCCAGACCACACCTCCTGCCTGAGGGAAGCATGGCCCCAACTTCTAGACTCCTTCCTCACCATCAGAGCGCTGTTCGGTGCCCTCAGCATCCAGACCTGGACTCTGCATTACTGTGAACACGAGCAAAGCCTTCAAAGGACAACAAGAAACAGGAGCGTGGTATATTACTTCCACATCTCGTCTGTTAGAGAATTGCTCCCATCCACCACAGCGGCTGCCCTGGCCATTGCAGGAGCCAAGGCAGAAGGCTCATGCACCAGCAAGGTGCTCACACTTAGAAATGACCACACCAGACTCTGACTGCAGTGATTTAGAAGCGAGGTCCTCTCCCACTTCCACTAGGAAACCAATGCAATTTGATTTCTTCCCAATTTGTGATTTCAACAACAGTTAACACAGACACCCACTCAGCCACTCCTTTAGCAGGCCGTTCCGTCTCAGGGCACAGGTCCACGCTGCTGCAAGAAACTCTGCACAGGCTCAAAACAAATATGCCATAAATGAGGCATGCTGCTTTCCCAGAGCCTCTGGGAACACCCAGAGTCAGCCACCTGGTCATTCTTTCAGTACCTAAACAGGAGGGGAATCAACTCTTCGAAAGGGTTGATAACTGCAGGACAAGGGGAAATGGTTTTAAGTTGAGGGAGGGAAGATTTAGGTTGGATGTCAGGGGGAAGTTCTTAACTATGAGTGGTGAGGTGCTGGAACAGCTGCCCAGAGAGGCTGTGGATGCCCCGTCCATCCCTGGAGGTGTTCAAGGCCAGCTTGAATGGGGCAGCCTGGGCTGGTATTGAATGTGGAGGTTGGTGGTCCTGCATGTGGCAGGGGGCTGGAGATTTGTGATCCTTGAGGTCCCTTCCAACCCTGCCCATTCTATGATTCCGTGATCCTTCTCTTCAGCATATAACATACTTACTATCCATATAACTTACTTACTATCCATCACATTACATTAATAAAATGGCAGGAAGTCACAGATTTCTGATGAGTTCATGTTGTAGGAGAAATTTTGAGAATATCAGGTCAAGGAATACACTTGTTTTTCATTTCTTCCAGGGATATGTTTGTGAGCCACAAGGAATTGCTCGCCCACTTAGCAGTCAGGGAAGCTAATCACAACTAATAGCGACCTAATTTCCTGGGTAACAACAAAAGATGGCTTCCTCTACTTGGTTGTTAACAAACACAAAATAAACCCCCCACAAGCTTTGCGAGACAAAAAAAAAAAAAGAGTGCAGCAATCCCACACATGATTGACCTACAATAGATGCACAGAAACCACATTGTAACATTGGCATGCAGCTTCCCTCAGAAGCTGGGTGACAGCTAACAAGTTATTTCTCTCTCAAATAAAGCTCTGTACTTTATAAACAGTAATACAGGAGCAATACTTACACAACTTAAAACCGGTAATCATCCAAAATAGTTTACTTTTATACCTGAGTGGTGCAGAGTAAGGAACAGATGAGATTTTCAGTTGGCAGAACGCTGCTGTCAGCTTCCTGCAGCTTGGGAGAGATCTCCCTCTCACAAGAGGGGGAAGGCAGACAGTAATTCCTAAGATACCTCCCCATTCCAACAAGTCTGAACAGCTCCACAATACTGAACTCTGCTCATTCCTCAGGAAATGAGGAATTTAAGGCCACTTATCTTCACCAACAAACAGAATGAAATTTAGGCTCAGCAATGTCCATTCTCCAACCTCTTTCTTTGTACCGTTGCTAAACTGCAGTCCTAGTCAGCAAAAATTGGTAAAGGGCAATTTAAGTAACAATGAAAAAGCATGGGGGAAAGAAAGAGAAATGTTCAAGAGAAGCTGAAGAAATTCGTGCATCCCAACAGCTACTTCATGTTTAAAACAGAAAGCTGTACAACAGATACCCACCACACTGCTCTTTCATGATAAAAAAGACTCAAAATCACCAGAACTCTGCACTGTTCACCAAAAATGCCCAAGTAAGTCCCTCTGCTCCACACATTGCCAGACATCCCCCTAGAACATACAGGAGTACCGATGAAGTAACTGCATCCTGCATCCTGCTGTTATGAAGGTGAATGCAGAAAATGAGGCATTTCTTAACCATCACTCCCAGAGCCAATCATAGAATTATAGAATGGGCTGGGTAGAAAAGGACCACAATGATCATCCGGTTCCAACCCCCTGCTCTGTGCAGGGTCACCAACCAGCAGACCAGGCTGCCCAGAGCCACATCCAGCCTGGCCTTGAATGCCTGCAGGGATGGGGCATCCACAACCTCCTTGGGCAACCTGTTCCAGTGCCTCACCACCGTGTGTGTGAAAATGACCTCTAAGAAAGCCCTGGGATTACTTGAATCCCAGCACTGGAGCCTGATGAAGACACAAAGCTTGGTACTGATAGCGCAGATACGGCCAGCATTCATGTGGTAATAATTCCTCCCACCTGGAGGAACTGACAGCGCTGATCCCTCACGCAGCACATTTCCAAAGATACCCGATTCTGCTCAGCCGTGTCCTCTGTCACAGCTGACAAGCTGAACGCCAGCTCTGACATGAAAGAACGTCAAATTCTCTCATTACAAAAGTTTCTTAATGAAAACACAGGTGAATAAAAACGACAGCACCTTTTGAGGGCACTCCTATGACAAATCAATTCCTCATCACTGAACGAATGGCACGTTTGATTGAAGAGCTCTCCCCAGGCAAAAATGATTTCATCCACACACCAGCCGGTTTTCCACACGCAAGCGATTCCCTTTAATCCTTAAAAGCCCGCATGCAACACACAGCTACCACACAGATGGAGCTGCGGCCGCATTCTGATTTATCGGACTGAAATACTGCATTTCAGACGCTCGGCTGAGCCAGTCACGCTCCATAAGCCAACAGCTCACGGCCAACATCCCACACGCGGCTCAGCGCCCCTTTCACACGCAGCGCGCGGCGGGGCAGCACCGGAGGGCCCAGGGCTCCGCAGGTCCCGCAAGAGCAGGCTTCGCGGAGACAAAAGGGCGACAGGCAGAGCCGCACGGCACGCACCTCGCGCCGACAACGCGATAAGGGGCCGGGGCTGCCGGCTGTGGCTCCGCGCGCCGGCGTGACGCCGTGACACAGCCCGGGCAGCCCTCCTCGGCTCCGTGCGCGGGTGCCGGGACGCGGAGCCGCCAGGGATCCATCGCAGCAGCGCCGATCTCCGCCCTGCCGCAGCCCCGTGTCACCTAGGGCAAAGCGGAGGGACCGAACCTGACCGCGGGCGGCTCCGAGCGCAGATCGCCGTAGCAGCCCTGCCTCAGCGCTGTGCCCGGCCCCGCGGGTGAGGGTCGGGGCAGGTCCCGGCCGCCCCCAGCACCAGCACCAGCACCAGCACCAGCACCAGCACCAGCACCAGCACCAGCACCAGCACCAGCACCAGCACCAGCACCAGCACCAGCACCCAGCCTTCTTCCCTCCCAGCCTTCTTCCCTCCCTTCCTCCTTCCCGCCCGCCGCCCCGCGCTCACCGCTGCCGCCGTTTGCTCCCACCGGCAGAGAAGCCGCAGCGCCGGCAGCACAATATGGCGAGCGGCAGCTCCGCAATGGAGCTCGGGAAATAGAGGGGAGTTACATATTCATGGCCGGGGCTGGGCAGGGGGAGCGCGGCCAGAGCCGCGGGCGCGGGGCCGCTCTCCTCGCCCGGCGGGGAGCCGCTTTCCCCGCCTCTCGCCCCGCCGCTTCCCCCCGGGTCGGGCCGTGCCGGCGCCCACCGCCGCCCTCTGCGTGCCCGCTCGGTCTCGGGCTGCCCCCTGCCTGCCCTGCGAGGAGAACGGGTGCGGGGGGTCCCTGTCCGGCTGAGGGAACGTCCGCCGCTCCCAGTGGTCTTAAAACCTGAAAGTGCTCCTTCAGCTGCACCGGGTGCTTCAGTCCCGCTGAGAGGCGGTGAGACGAAACGAGCGGCTGTCCTTGTGCTCTATACGTTGAAAAGACAGCTGCTGGCATCTCGGGGCGAGTTACCGTTAACTTTAGCACGGCTGGGATGCTAGCGGGTGGCTCTGGTTTGGCTTTTGTCGCTCCTTGCAACGCTTCTGTTACTTTTCAGAAGTTCTGGCACATACCGGTTTCCTCCTCGTGGTTCTACATCTCTGATAACGCTCATACAACTGACCCGTGCAGCGCCGTGTCGGAGATCCCCGCAGGAATGCAGTCAGGAGCCAGCAGTGCCATCGCTGTGCTCTCTGCAGGGCAGATCTCCACCCTGCACCTCAGAAGGATTCAGACAGGAGCTGGGTTCAACGCTCCTCTGTGATGTTCCTAGCCCACTTCCTTCCCAAGTGGGCTCGGATGGGCTTTTTCAGTGTTGGCATCCAACGATAGCATAGAAAGGTTCAGAAAGATCTCTGGTTCTAGACAGAATGAAACGAGGCAGAATTAATGACTGAAATTTTCCTGCTTTCAGCTGCGTATCAGCAACAAAGAAGGGAAGGCTTCTGCCAAGCTGCCAGCAAGCACCCTGCGGGGAAAGCTGCCTTGCTGCGGGCCTGCAGCTCTGGGGTGAGTGAAACAGTTCATGTAAAGCTGTTGTGAGATAAAACAGCCCTATATATTGAAGGATATAAGAACAAGATTTGCAAAATAAAAGCATGGAGTTATAAGGAAGGCAGATCTAATGAGGATGCAGTGGTAAGAAGTGCCTTGGGAGCATCTAGTGAAATGCAGAAGAAGAAACACAGGCACATGGACTAACAAAGGTACACAAAAAGAAATTCAACACCATTGATGATGTTAGGCCAGTGGTATCCAAGTCACCGTATTCATGAGAATATTTATTTGATTTTGTTTTATATTTATTACATTATCCATTCAAGGAGTCATAGGTTGTCCAGGGAGGATGTCCTGTCCTCAGCCTTGGAAGACAAGTCCTCAGACTTGAAGATTTCCAAGTCTCAGGTGGCTCAAGCCCTCAGCAATCTGATCTGACCCCAGAGCTGAGCCATGGAGGGCAGGGAGCTCCTGAGGTCCCCTCCAGACCACGTTATCCCATCATTCTGTGATTCTGCACTCACAGTGCAGATAAGAAAGCTTAGGATGTGGATAATATTGTATTTCAAGCCTTTGTGAACATTTCCTTTCTTTGCAGAAAGCTTTTTCTGAAGAAGGTAGAAAAAAAAAAAAACTGCTGCATGATAGCTGAGATAGCTTTCATCAGCTTGTGGCTTCCAGTGTTCCTTGTGTAATGGAAACTTTTATTCTGCTCCTTGTGGCAACAAAAGAATTGTAAAGAAAATTACTCCGGTCAACTGAGACATGCTGTTTCCACGTCCTCCTTCCAGGTAAAATATTTATTACCTGCTGAAGTGATTGAAGGTCACCTATTCACTGCCTTTTAGAAACTAGTATAAATAGAGAAGAAAATGGAAAATAAAGTGCTCCCATTTTCCCAGTCTGTAGCCAGAGAACAGTAAATAACATAAAATGTGACAGAAAGTAGAAAATGTCCATATTGCTAGGTAATGAGGGAAAAATAAGCTGGCAGTGGATTGGCGAGAGGAGGTAAGGTCATTGGTGGTGCCCCAGGTACACTGTTACACTTGTCTGCCCTATACTGAGTGGTGATATTGCTGCAGTGTGCCTGTAACTGCCATGTACCCTTCACTGGATCTTGAGAGCATCACAAAGGTATGATGAAGGCAGGGATTAAGCCCTTTCCTTAAGTTCATTCTCATACAGACATCATGTTTGAAGCAGGGCTCTCTGGCTGTAGGTAAGTTTATTATACTCAAAGTAATAGATAACTTAGCAAGGGTGAAGTTATATCACTTCATGCAACATTCAGATGGACATCTTGAAGATAAGTGTAGGGAATTACTCTGCATACTCTTGTTAATAGAGTATAGTCTGTTATGCTCAGCTGTATTACACATCCAGAGATGTAGGCTTATTATCTGTTCCAGAGATGTGCCACACATTCTGGACTCTTGTTTGTGTATGCACTGAAAACAGTGTGTGTCAGAAAAAGGTCAGCTCTTCTGTAATCTAGATCACGTTTGAAGACAGTGGCTTTATTTGAAACTTGCACACAAAAATAAGTGGGAAGGAGAAAACCAAGGCATATTAACTACTCAGGAAAGTAATGAGTACAAATGGGAGTTGTAGCAGAAACTATGTTACTCAAAATTCACAAATTAGGGATTCTATCTGCTTTATCAGTACTCCCAGATCATCAGGGGATCTTCAGTAATTCACTATTATAAAGCTCTTGCTTTCAAAAAAAGCCACTCAAGACCAGCATTTGGGCACTTGAAACAAAGATAGCCCTAGATAAGCTAGGAATAGCAGAGTTGGGAGCAGGTAATAACGTAGTAAACATCCTGTTTACAAAGATCCTCTCAGTGTATCCCCTAAGTATGTTGATGTATCTGACTTTAACATCTTATATCAACTCAGGGCTACAATGTACTTCATAAGCAGTGTGCAGAATGGAAACAGACTTAGAGCACCAGCAGCATAAAGTCTTTCACCGGTCTTGATGGTGAATATCAGGCATGTTCTCTAGCACTTTCTGTAATAAAAGGTGAGAGAGGATGTTGGAAAAAATATTTCAATTCTAATAGCTATTGTAGTTGAATTGATGTAAACCATCCCAGTGTAAGTACAAACAAAACAAAACAAAACAAAAAAACCTACAATCATGCAGCTCTTGACAAAACAGTAGTCTGTACCAATAGTAGTACTACTGGTAGTCATTGAGCAATGTTTGGTATTTGGTATTTTCACTATTCTCATAACATCATTAAACTGCATGCTTCTGAAGGCAATCATAACAGTAAATTTGTTCAGCCTCAACAAAGGTAATAATTGTTCTTTGTCAGCACATACAAGAGAGAACATCATAACTGAATGGACAGAAGCTGTTTGTCTGCCTGTATTTACAGTATTTACAGTCATCCAGGTGCCCCAACGTAGGTGTGACTGTGGCTAGTTTATGATGTGCTGGTGCAGACTAGCAAGTGAAAGCAGCTGCCTGGTCCTTCTTCCTTCTGCTTTAAGCTGTTCATTGAGAATACAGTGAACTTTTTGGCTTTGATTTACTAGCAATTTCATCTCTGATAGGGCAGTACTTATTCCTCTTGTCCAGCTTATTTCCACTCTGTGTTGTAACTGCTCTAAGACTTAATGCTTCTATTAAGTTAGCTTAATATTAAGCTTAGTGCTGGGAGAGTCCTTCACTTTCCCACTGAGCATTTTTGTTCCCTTTGTGGGAGATTAGAGAATGTGTGTGGCTGACACGCTACCACTGACCTTCTTCTGTTCTCCTGTAGCCACATGCATGCAAAAGATTTGTAATCCTTTCTTCTCTTCCTGCAGTACAAAGTCCCACACCTCACAGCACACTTCTCACTAGTGTCACAGCTAGGGGCCTGGGCTAACTTGTGTTAGCGCTGTTTTTGCTTGCAAAGGTATGAATGAATGGCAAAATTTGCATGACAAAATTCCTGCGGTGCAAAGTATATTTTAGCACCCAAACCAACTTGTACAAAGCAACTTGTGAGCGATGATGAAGAGGCCAGAAAGCAGCAGCAGTGAGTTAGTTTCCATATAAAGGCAGGAGAGAAAAACACCCCCACAACAAAAATAATTATAATGGGGACACTGCAGTAGGAATTTCTCTACTCCTACTCTTGGACAGAATGACTCAGGCCCACTGTGTTTTCCACGGTGCCAAATTACCAGGTCTGAACTTCATGGTGTGAGTTGACAGCAAAGGGAAAACCCACAGCTGAAGCACTTGGGTTTGGTGGTGTTCTTACAAAGAAGTTCCCCTAAATCACTAGTAATAAATCCATGCAGTTCTGAAGTGTGCCAGAATCTCTTACCAAGACTTGGATCTCCAACCGTGCTGGTGCTTCTTTTCTACAGACTTAAATGTTGGGTTTTTTGATTCTCTTTATTGTGCTATGCAGAGGCTTCTGCAATTAAGCAGTTATTTCAAAATAATTACAAAGGAATCTTGTGCCTTTGCTTCAATGGCTTAACGTTTCTCTGTAAGATTTGCAAAGGGTGACCTTTTGAAATGTTTTGTTGGAACTGTAGGTGTTCCTGCAGTCACCTTTCTCTTTTTCTCTTACAAAAAGGGAAGAGGATAGAAATGAGGCTAAGAATCCAGAAGTATCTGTTTCTCCTGCAACTGTTTTTTTACTACTTACTTTTGGATTATACAAAGTGTATTGAGAGGAAAAAGGTCTTTTTTGTTTAGTTACTGGTGGTTTTTGGTTTTTTTGTTTGCTTGCTTTTGTGGTGTTTTTGTTTGTTTGTTTGTTTGTTTACCTTTTCATTGCCTCGGAATAACTAAGGAGAATTGACACATACTTTGAGAAGGATCTAGGTAGCCTCAGAGCAGACAGAAATGCAAAATACTTTGGCCTCAGTGCCTAGCACAGGTAACTTGAACAGAAATAAGGACATCATAAAGCCATTTTTACAACTTTTTAATTTGTTATTCAGCAAACATGTTTGTAGTGTCTTATCCTCATCAGTAAATAATCATATGTGATTAATACCTATCCTGTGTGGCTTCCTATATGGGAAATTCTGCACAAAGTGTTTTGAAACAGTTTTTTACAGTAAATATATATATATTTCAAAGATAAGAGCAAAGTCCTGTGAAGCAGAGAAGGTGGTGGTGTTCGGGGAAAAACT